ATTAATTTTAAAAAGTAATGACATTTGTTGAAATAATTTTCCAAAGTAATGACATTTGGTGAAATAAGAATTACATTAACGGAAAACTAACGTCCATATGCTAATAGTGGCACGAGGTGTTATTGCATTGTTTGTTAGTGGCATTTGGTGAATTTCAAAAACTTTAATGACTTTTGGTGAATTTTATAAGTATTCAGTGGCATTTGGTGAAATAGCCGTTAAAAACTTAAAATTATAAAGTAGTTGCCTAGTCGGTGATGCAAGTGAGGATGGAAAAAAAAGATTGAAAAATCGAAAAAGGCCATATTCAATGAAACCTTATTATTGTTAATTTTATGGAGATCAATCAACCTCGCTCATTAAGGAAACAAAAGCAGAAAAATTGATTTGTTTGTCGTCTCGTGGCATGTGCTTTTGTCATTTGGTAAACCAAGTATGTGAGTATTAATTGTTCACACCTGTAACGTATGTTCAAATTGTCAATCAATCTTACATTTATTGACAGTCTGGAATTTTTTTGTAGTGGATTCGCTGTTCCAATTACTTGTATAGTTATCGTCTTCTATTACATGAAATAGTTCTTTTTTTGGTGCAAAATCTCTATGAAATTATCTCTTTATTAGATGCAAAATGTGGCTGCTCCATTAATCAGGCTGATCTACATTGTACATAAATATGTATATTAGGGGTGTGGAATCTTATAATACCTCCGTTTCATGTTATTTGTAACGATTTAATATAAAGTAGAGAGAAAAAATGTCTAATTGTTACAAATAATATGTAACAGAGAAAGTATATAATTTAAGAGTTGTGTTTAACATGGAGGAAGTACAAAGGGAATGAAATTAGAATGGTATTATACTATTATGCACATATATATACATACTCGTGAGGGGAATTCCTAATGCGTCATATGTAATGATGGGAAATAAAGAAGAATTATTACAAGGAACTATATCCATATTATCGCACTAACTAAATGACCAACATTTGTTATCTAGTCCGCTGCTTGATTTGCCTCTCGAAAGATATGACGAATGCTCCCGTTGTCGAAATTGCTAAGAAGATGTCTTTAACAATATGATCAATTTTCCATGGTGTTGACCAGATGTCTTTAACGGAGTTGATTACTAAAAGATTATCACCTTCAATCATAATATTTTTTATCCCACACTCAAGAGCTAGAAGAATATCTTTATGAAGAGCCATGACCTTTGTTATGAAAACTTTGGTGGTGCTGAGGTTGAAAGCGCGAGCTCCTAAAACTGTCCCACTGTTGTCTCTGATGAGAATCTCTGCTGCTGTTGACTTGTTGAGTACTGAACCGTCAAAATTGAGTTTGCAGAAATTTGTTGGTGGTGCCTCCCAGGAAACCATGATAGATTGATAGTGTTTGTTGGAGAATAAGGAGGAGTAGATGAGGATCGGATCTCCGAATAGGAGATCCCGGCCCGATGAAGAAAAGGTATCGGTGAGAATTTTGTTATGTCACTCATTGAACGCAAATTGTGATCGGTGGTAAATTCTAGGAATATCAAAGGGTTCTTGGCGGAAAATTATAGAATTACGCACTTTTCAAATACTTCAAATAAGGAAGATAAATTTCGTAATAGCTAGTTTGTGTTTTTTTAGGCTTAAAAGTGCTTCAACTAAATCAGTGTAGGGAACTGTACAATCCAACTAATTCTTAACTAAGGTATTGTTCCAAACACCTTTAGAACGTATGCAAGAGAGAAAGAGATGGTTCACTATTTTACTATGAACATTACATAGGCCACAGTCACTAAAAGCAAATTATATATATATATATATATATATATATATATATATATATATATATATATATATACACACACACACATATATAATGGTAAGAACAATAGCTAAAATAATGGCATGCTTTATTTTGAAGCCGAATATGTACAACTAGGTAAAGCTGTCAATTTGGGTAAACTGGTCGGGTTTTGGTCTGAAAAGAATGGGTCGGGTCAACTCAGGTCGGGTCAATTCGGGTTAATGTCGTAACCTATGCGGGTCGGGTTCGGATTGGGTCATGCTTGAGTTAGGTCATTTTGGGTCATACATCTTATCAAGTTTGGGTCGGGTTTAGGTCGGGTTATATTCGGGTCGAGTGAATAATAGGTCGGGTTTAATTTGGATTTTCTCGGGTTAAAACGGGTTAGGGTAAATTTCGGGTTCGAGTCGGGTTCAGTTCAAGTTAATAATTTACAGGTTCGAATCAGGTCGGGTCATTCTTAGGTTTGAGTCGGGTTTGCTTCAAGTCAATAAATTGCGGGTTATAATCAAGTCGGGTCATTTCCAAGTCGGGTTTTGTTCAAGTCAATAATTTGTGGGTTATAATCAGGTCGGGTCATTTCCAAATCGGGTCATTCTCGGGTTCAATTCGGGTTTGGTTTAAGTCAATAATTTGCAGGTTACAATCAGGTTAGGTCATTTTCAAGTCGGGTCATGTTCGGGGTCAAGTCGGTTTTGGTTCAAGCCAATAATTTACGGGTTATGATCATGTTGGGTCATTTTCAAGTCGGGTTATGTTCAAGTTCGGGTCAATTACTAAGTTCGATTAAGCAATTATACTTGCTCAGTTCAACTTTATGAGTAACTTTTTGAATATATGCTTTTAATAGTATCAACCACCATTTATCTATATGTGCTAGGAATAACCAAACATTAATCCTAATCATCTTATAGACTACATATATACAATGTACATGCCTTTGTCAATCACTATAGGCTAAACTCTAACTAATGATGAATAGATAATTATCATTTTTATCAAGCTAATTATTTCCTTTGACTATATAATAATATGTATGGCAATATAATAGGGAACTATAGCCTATAATTTAGGAAGATAATTATCTCCTTTGACCATACAAAAAATATATACTATATTTAACTCTTAAATTTGGGGATGATGCTTCGTTCTTTTACTGGTCTGGACTGACTTGGTCTCCTTAGACAAAATGCTTTGATCAACAATAATAAGGTGGTCTAAATTGAATTTAAGGTGATTTGAAATCGGGTCAGGAACAATTTGGGTTGAATTTACGTTGGGTCAATAACAAGTCGTGTTGATTTCGGGTTGGTTTAGTAACAGATCGGGTTGGATTTTGTGTCGGGTTAGTATTAGGTCGGGTAAACTTCGGGTCGGGTTAATAACAAGTCGTGATGAATTTGGATCGGGTCAATAACATGTCGGATTGATTTCGGGTCAGGTTCGTAACAGGTCGGGTTGAATTTTGAGACAAGTTAGTAACAGGTCGGGTTAAATTTGGATCGGGTTGAATTCAGATCGGGTTAAATTCGGGTTTTTATTAGATTCCCCTTATTTTAAATTTTTCAAATCTCAACTTTTTATAATTTTCACTTATACATAGCTAAAGATATTAAAGGTCAAAGATGTTTATTGGAGACGGCCCAAAGACAAAATAAGTCAATCTTTCAGGAATAGAGGAAGAAAATTTGTTAAAAAAAAAAAAACTCCCTCTATTAAAGTTATATGCAAGATATTAGATTTTTCACTATTTATGTATTTATATGTCTCTCTTGGCTGTATTTTTAACAACACTTTCATGTAATTTATATCAATTAGATCGAGGTGATCAAAGGGGGTTCAGGCCGAGTTCGGGTAGGGCTAGCGGTAAACCTGTTCACGGATCGGATATCCGAAGACTCGGATATCAAAAATTGATATCCAAATCCGATATTCGGATATCCAAAATTTTCGGATCGGATGCTTCGGATATCCATTATCCAATATTAAGTAAAATTGTTATGATTACTTTCTAAATTTCACTAATTTTACCGTTTTTTTATCGCTAAATTGTACAAAATATTTTAACAAAAATAGTAGTCCTTTTGCAATTAATATTATCATCAAATATATTAAGAATATTACAATAAGTTAATAATACAGGGTTAGTTTTATATGAACAATTTAAAAATTATATTATTTTAGGTTTATATTTCGGATATCGGATATCCGAAATTTTGAAAATTAATATCCAAATCCGCATCCGATATCCGCTTTTTCGGATCGGATATCCGATCCGAAATGAAAACTCGGATCGAATATCCAAAAATTCGGATCGGTTGCGGATCGAATTATCGGATTTTCGGATAGTTCTGTACAGGCCTAGCTAGCGGATTAAAAAATCGGCCACGAAGTCGGTCAAGCTAAGGTTCGAGCCAAAAATATTTGTCCAAAAATTGTAAATATAGACCGAGTTTAACAGACTTTCGGGACGGACCAAAACAATTGACTAAAAAATGCTTAAAATGCATGTCCATAGCCCGAGCTGACTTTTAATGTCCATGGCGTGCCAAAAATCGGGATGGCCTTGGTCTATTTTGATCACCTCTAATACTCCTTCCGTCCTCGAAAGAACGATCCTTTTGGGTTGATTTCGCGGGTATTAATAAAGTTAAATAAAAATAAGTAAACGTATATTGGAAAGATAAATTTACATGAGGTTCACAAAAAAGTAGAGAGAAAGAGTAATAAAAGTATATGAAAAAATAAAATTTTATATGGAAAAGCTAATTTTGCATAAATATTGTTGCAAATTGGTGGGTATTTTAATGCTAATGGGTCATTCTTTTTGGGACTAAAATTAGGCCAGATGGGTCGTTCTTTCGAGGATGGAGGGAGTATTAATGTATATATATTCAACTGTCAAGTTTTCAAGATATTTACACATATACTATTAAAGACACTAATGGTTGAATTGTGCATCGGTAAGAGTGACATTCACTCAAAACAAAGGAATATTATATCGATGTTACATACGTAGAAGCTGGTTAAATTAACTGATTATATAACTTGTTTGACTAGCTTCTTGCATTTATTGTTTGTTATGTAAAAGGCTTGAAAATTAGTTTTTAGTTGAAGCTACTTCATTGTACAAAATGACTAATAAGAATTTATGCATAATTTATTACTCCGTATTAGTTTGTTAATAATGGGTAATGAACTATGTTGCACGGATACCGACACGGACACGGACACGGACACGATACGGACACGGGAAAACGGCAATCCTGAAATAGGGGACACGGGTACGGCATATAACAAGGCATATAATATATCAAAAAAACGAGAATTTGACAACCTATTCAATAAAACACTAAATAATTAGCCTCAAAACACACAATTTTGTTAAAACAAGTAAATAAACAAAGTGTACGAACGTAGTCTCATACATATCAAGAAACCATCAAACCAAATACATGTCTTAATAATAGTTTTACAAATCATAAATAAAATAAACAAAAGTACTAATAGTTTCATTCTTCACCATCACCAAGTACATCATCAAAAATCATATTCTCCATCTCGGGTTCATCAAGTGAGAGCTCGGCCATCTCTAGAATACCAACCTCTCCTAGGTTGTCATGCTCATCTCCACCCACATCCCACAACTTAGATCTCCCCTTAGTGTATTCTTCACTTCTCCTAGAAAGTAATCGAAGGTTGTTATGAATGTATACCAAGTCTTGAGCACGTTTAGGAGTAAGCTTATTTCTAGTGCAAGAATGAATAAACTTATAGGTGCTCCAATTCCTTTCACTACAAGAAGAGGAAGAAGGTTGACCTAATAGCTTATAAGCCAAACCTTGAAGCATAGGCACTTGGGAACCATAAGTTGCCCACCAATTTTTAGCATCCATCAAAGCCATATCATGCATGCAATCAATGTTGAGAAAGATCCCCTCTGATTTTTGTGAGAATATTGCAAATTCCGTGTTGATCTTGAATCTTTCATCGGGACTTTGGAAAAGCCTTCGAAAGCATTGTAATCTTTGTGTGGAAATTTCATTGTCGGCATTTGGAGCAACTCGTCCCGGGACCTCATTAAGCCATTCTTCCGTGTAAAATCTTTAACAACAAAATAAGAATAGCCATAAGAAATTAAATAAAAAACAAGGAAAAATAAATAAATATGAATTAAATAAGTAAAACTTACCTTGGATTCAAAGAATGTGCTAATGAATGAAGTGGAGTACTACCCTTACTCCAACGACTACTAAGAATCCCTTTAACTACATTAAAGAAGGTAGATTGTTCATAATCTAGTTTACCCTCTTTCTTGTAGATGGCATCTTTCACCTTTTGAACCATAATGTCCCATCTTTCATAAACCAAATGCAAGGAAGATTTGTCGGTGTCACAAACCCTAATCATCTCATAGATTGGGCGTGTAAAATCAAGAATGTAATCAACTTTTTCCCACCATATTTCATCCAAAATCTTTTCCCTTACATGTGAGGCTTGCCCGCGTCGATCATCCTTGTATAAGGACCAATTCTCACTAATAACCATTGATTGAAGTGATGTTTTAAGGAGTTTCAACCTTTTAAGCATGCACACAATTGAAGCAAAACGAGTGTCGGCAATGCAAAGTAGTTTTAATGGCGAAAACTTATTGAACATTGAAAGCCTCATCGAATGATTCATTATGTAATTTTTAATGAACAAGGCATCTGCATGAACTTCCGTTATCCAATGACATTCATCATATACTTCAACATTATTCAACACATTCTTAGCTGCACAGATGCTTTTCATTGCAAGATTAAGTGTATGAACAACACATGGTGTCCAATATATATGAGGATACCTACCCTCAACCAATTCCCCTGCAGCCTTACAATTACTTGCATTATCTGTGATTATTTGAACAACATTTTGATCTCCAATTTCATCAATCACCTCACTTAGTAAGGTAGCAATGAAATCTTTGTCCTTAATCTCACCCGAGCAATCAATAGCTTTCATAAACATAGGACCCGTTTCAGAAGCAATCATAATGTTAATCAAAGGCCTTCTTTGTGGATCACTCCACCCATCACTAACAATGCTAACACCTTTTGTTTTCCATGTGGCTTTCATAGGTTGTAATAACCTATCCACATTTTCTGTCTCTTTACAAAGCAAAGTTGTTCTAAGTTTGTTGTATCCGGGAGGCTTATAACCAGAGAGATTAGAATTGGCAGCCATTGTATATGAACTAACATAGTAAGGGTTTCTAGCAAGATTAAAAGGCAACCCCCCTGTGTAAAACATTCTAGCAATTTCAGAATCCAAGTGGTCACGAGATTTCACATTAAAAGCATCAGAAATTGTATTTTTTGATTTCCTCTTCTTTACATTATCAAATGAACCTAGTCTCATTGATGTAGCTTCAGTTGATGTGTGAGAAGATATGGGTTCATTTGAAAAAGGTGGAACTTTTGGTAACAAAGATTTTTTATAATCCTCGGATTCACGATGAAGCGATCTTAGTTTAGCAAGGTCATCAATTTTCACTTTATTACAAGTTTGAATCCCTTTCCCTTGTTCACCTAGCAAATGAGCTTTCACTCTAGTGTATGAACCATTTTTAACTTCGCCGCAAAAGTTACATTTCCAATTATAATTTCCTCCACCACCCGATATTTTATCACCCTTAACAACAAACTTCCACAAAGGGTAGGGGTCCTTAGACTCAGATGAATTACTACTACCACTAACATTGCACGAAGCAGAGGCACTAGAACCACTAGAAGACATTCCTAACAATTTCAACAAGACAACAATACATTTTCAGCAAATCAAACATTTATAGTTTAGCTCAAACAACACAATCAAATTACACAATGCACATGTGTTATATGTATAAGTTTATAGTGTAAATGTTAGAAATATAGAGTACTGTTTCATTTATATATACAGTATCCACATGCATATTATTTCTCCAAAACAATGGGCACTAACATACACAACATATATATCAATGCACTAATGCAGCAGTTGAAGGGCAAGCATAAAGTTTAGACTAAATGATCACAAAAATCACAAAAATGCACAAAAGTTTAGACTAACTGAAAGCAAGTTTTTAAACCCAAAAATGGTCAAAACTCAAAAGGGGTAAACAAATAACAAAAACGAAAACCATAAAGTTATCCAAAAAGATAAAACACTACATATCCCTTAATCTAGAACATAATATTGAAGTAATTGAACCACAAAACCATGATACAAATTACTGAAATTAGCCAATTTAAGCAAATCGTGAAGGAATGAAATAAAATTAAAAATTTAAAACGAGAATGAGAGATTGAGAGGAATACCTGAGAAAGTGAGAAGGCTGAGAGCACCGACGAGAGTGACGCCTGGACGGCGGCGACGAGCGACGAGTGACGGGCTGACGGCGAGTCGACAAAGGATTGAAGGAATAGAGTATTAAAGTGGCCAGGTTTCGTGATGACTGAGGAGTGAGGACTTGCGACGAGCGACGAGCCGACGACTGACGCTGTGACGGTGGACGGTGGGCGACGGTCAGGCGACTTCAGTCGGCGGCGATTTGGGTTTGAGAAGGTTGAGGTAGAATGAACTCGTGAAGAGGAAGATTGAAAGCAGTAGGGTTTGAGAAAAAAGAAACTGAGGGAGTTGGGCTGGAATAACAAAAGGGCGTGTCCAAAATAAAACGGGCCGTGTCATAGGGAGACACGGTCTGTGTCCATGACGTATTTTTTTTTAAAAAAAAAGGGACACGGATTTTGAAGTGTCGGACACGTATCGCACCGTGTCCCACCCGTGTCGGTGTCGGACACGCGTGTCGACACGGACACCTCAGCTAGGTGGCGTGTCCGTGCTTCACAGGTAATGAATCGATTTTGATCAAATTTAAGGTAGAAGAGCCATATATTATCCACAACTAATACAAAGTTTTCTCACAAAAACACCCCAATTACTAGGGTTTGTTAAATATGGAATAGAAAATAAAGAGAGATGAGGGAAGATTGTTACGTTGTATTTCATATTCCATCTAGTACGGGATATATATAATGTACATTTCCTAGGGTTCCATCAATGGATAAAACCAAATACCCAACTCTAGAATATTCTAGATTGTACATGGGATAATAGTCATCCATATTTAGATATTATCATAACACTCCCCCTTGGATGACTATATATTGAATAAAACAATAACTAACATTTACTACAAAACCTGTACAAAATAATACACTATAATGCGCATAAGATGCTGCCTCGTTAAAAACCTTACCAGGAAAACCTAGTGGGAAAAAACCATGGTTAAGGAAAAAAAAGTGCAGCGCGCATTAACTCCCCCTCATGACTACATCACTTGAGATCTTTAAGACGACGCAATCCAATGCCGTAAGCTAACTTTTTGAATGTTGCTGTCGGAAGAGCCTTAGTAAATAAGTCTGCTAAATTCTCACTTGAACGAATCTGCAATACATTTATATCTCCATTCTTCTGAAGATCATGAGTGAAGAAAAATTTGGGTAAGATGTGCTTTGTTCTGTCGCCTTTGATGTATCCTTCCTTAAGTTGAGCAATACAAGCAGCGTTATCCTCATATAAAGTTGTTGGTGCCTCTTTCCCAGATGATAAACCACAAACTTCTTTTATATGTTGAACTACCGACCTTAACCATACACATTCACGACTAGCCTCGTGAATTGCTAAAATCTCAGAATGATTGGAAGAAGTAGCTGCAATGGTTTGTTTCATGGAACGCCAAGAAATGGCAGTACCACCATATGTGAACACATATCCAGTTTGTGACCGACCATTATGAGGATCAGATAAATAACCTGCATCTGCAAAACCAATCAAATTTTCTTTGGACAACTTTGGGAAAAATAAACCCATATCCTTCGTACCTTGAAGGTACCGAAGTAAATGTTTAATCCCATTCCAATGCCTTCGGGTTGGACATGAACTAAACCTTGCTAATAAATTAACTGAAAATGATATATCAGGTCGTGTATGACTTGCAAGGTACATTAGTGCTCCAATTGCACTAAGATACGGTACTTCAGGACCAAGAATTTCTTCATCATTTTCTCGAGGTCGGAATGGATCTTTCTCTACTTCAAGTGATCTTACAACCATAGGGCTGCTCAATGGATGTGCTGTATCCAAAGAAAATCTTTTAAGAACCTTTTCTATGTATGTTGATTGATGCACAAGGATTCCATTCTCTAGGTGCTCTATTTGTAACCCCAAGCAGAATTTTGTCTTTCCTAGATCTTTCATTTCGAACTATTTCTTTAAATAATTGTCAGTCACTGAAATCTCTTCAGGAGTTCCAATGATATTCAAATCATCAACATACACTGCAATTATAACAAATCCTGATCCAAATTTCTTTATAAAAATACATGGGATGATAGGATCATTCTTATAACCTTCTTTCAACAAATACTCACTTAGGCGGTTATACCATATACGCCCAGATTGTTTCAATCCATAAAGAGATTTGTTCAATTTAATACAGAAATGTTCTCGAGAACTAGATTTTGCTGCTTCCGGCAGCTTGAATCCTTCTGGGAGCTTCATGTAAATGTCATTATCCAGTGGGCCATATAAATAAGTTGTGACTACATCCATCAAACGTAATTCAAGTCCTTCTCTTATTGCCAGACTAATCAAAAATCTAAAAGTAGTTGCATCCACCACAGGAGAATATGTCTCCTCATAATCAATACCAGGTCTTTGTGAGAATCCTTGTGCAACTAAGCGTGCCTTATATCTTACAACTTCACCCTTTTCATTTTTCTTTCGCACAAAGACCCATTTATATCCCACTGGCTTTACACCTTCAGGTGTACGGACTACTGGTCCGAATACTTCTCTTTTTCCAAGAGATTTTAATTCTGCTTCAATTGCTTCTTTCCATTTTGGCCAATCATTTCTTTGTCTACATTCTTCAATAGATTTTGGTTCATGATCCTCATTATTATCCATAACATCTAATGCTACATTGCATACAAAAACATCATCGACGTCGATTTGATTTCGGTTCCATGTAATTCCAGACATGATATAATTTATTGAAATTTCTTCATTATCAGGTACCTGAATTTCTTCTTGTATCATGTCTAAAGTCTCTTCTGGAGATCCTTCGGAAATTGTTTCTTCAATTTGACCATCATCAATCAATGCTCCTTTTCTTTTCCGAGGATTCTTATCTTTGGAACCTATTGGTCTTCCACATTTGTGGCGTGGTTTAGACTCATTAGCAATTTTATTTTGTCCTTCCGGGACATCTATTTTAAATGGAGCATTAACAGCTGGAATATGCGACTTGGTCACTCTTTTTGGGTCAGCAAACGAGTCTGGCAATTGATTCTCTAAACTTTGTAAATGAATTATCTTTTGAACTTCCAGTTCACATTGTTTAGTTCGAGGATCAAGATAGGATAATGATAATTCATTCCATTTAATTTCATTTTCCAGCTCTCTCTTTTCTCCCCCTAATGTTGGGAAAAGTGACTCGTTAAAATGACAATCTGCAAAACGAGCCGTAAATAAATCCCCTGTTGTAGGCTCAAGATATTAAATTATTGACGGGGATTCAAACCCAACATATATCCCCTTTCTCCTTTGAGGACCCATCTTAGTGCGTTGTGGTGGAGCTATTGGAACATAAACCGCACATCCAAAAATTCTTAGATGGGAAATATTTGGTTCCTGACCATAAACCAATTGTAATGGGGAGAACTTGTGATAACTTGTTGGCCTAATGCGAATTAGTGCTGTTGCATGTAATATAGCATGTCCCCAAGCAGAAATTGGGAGATTGGATTTCATAAGCAATGGTCTAGAAATTAACTGAATACGTTTTATTAATGACTCTGCTAGACCGTTTTGTGTATGAACATGTGCTACAGGATGTTCAACATTTATCCCAATGGACATGCAATAATCATTAAAAGCTTGAGATGTAAATTTACCAGCATTGTCAAGCCGAATAGTCTTAATGGGAGTATCTGGAAAATGTGCCCGTAACTTAATCAATTGGGCAAGTAGTCTCGCAAACGCCAGGTTACGAGTTGATAACAAAGACACATGTGACCATCTAGTTGATGCATCAATTAAAACCATAAAATATCTAAATGGTCCACATGGGGGATGTATGGGCCCACAAATATCTCCTTGTATACGTTCCAGAAAACTAATTGATTCAAAATTAATTTTAGTCGGTGATGGGCGAATAATCAGCTTGCCTTCCGAGCAAGCAGCACATGAAAAATTATTATGAAGAATTTGCTGGCTCTTCAAAGAATGTCCACATGAATTCGTAATTATTTTTCGCATCATTATTGAACCAGGATGGCCTAACCGGTCATGCCAAACAACAAAATCATTAGTAAACTTCTGGTTTACTATAGCATGAGCTTCAATAACATTGATTTTTGTGTAGTACAAACCACTAGAGAATGTAGGTAGTTTCTCCAAAACATGTTTTGAGCCTTGAGTTATATTTGTGATTTGAAGGAATTCGTTATTTTCTTCATTGATTGTCTCAATATGATAACCATTATTGCGAATATCCTTAAAACTTAATAAATTTCTTTGAGACAATGGGGAGTATAAAGCATCAATTATTTTAATTTCAGTTCCCCAAGGCAACTTTATAGTGGCTCTTCCGGAGCCCTCAATGATATTTGTACTACCCGATATGGTACTTACATTAATCCTTTTCATCATCAAATGAGAGAAATGTTTTTTATTTTTAAGTATTGTATGTGTAGTTGCACTGTCAGCAAAACATAATTCTTCACCATTCATAGCAAATTGAACTTGAGTAATATCCATGTTCTTCATGAAATAAAATACATGTCAAAATATTAAGCATAAAAATAAAGATGATAAAACAAATAAATCAATAAAAACACTCAAATAGTTCATAAATTTATAAAGCAAAAATCCTTATTACAACGAAAGAAATAAACTTAAATAAATTACTAGAATAAGCAAACATAAGTCTAATACTTAAAACTGACATAATACAATATAATTTTAATTATTCCCTTCTGGGGCAGTGAAGAAATCGACAACTTCTAAATGAGTTGTACTGTCAAAATCAAAATTATTCCCTTTCGGGAAAGTAAGGAAATCACCAACATCAAATTGATTGGCATTGCCAAAATCAAAATCACCTTCACCATTTTCAAGAACAAGGTTTGCCTCAACTTTCTTTCCTTTCTTCAATGATTCTTGGTAAAGTTCAATAAGATGCTTTGGAGTTCTACAAACCCGAGACCAATGACCTTTTCCTCCACAACGGTAACATATATTGTTATCACTTTTCTCTTTTTCATCCCTACATTCCCACTTCTGGTGGGAATGTGAGTTTGTGAAATGACCTCCACGACCTCTACCATATCCACGTCCACGACCCCGGCCACGCCATTGGCCACGACCACGACCTCTACCTCGACCACTACTGCTGGAATGGTCCCTGTTTTTAGTTTCTTTCCCGTTATGGGTTGTCACATTCACTTCAGGGAATGGAGTAGAGCCAGTAGGACGTGATTCATGATTTTTCATTAACAGCTCGTTATTTTTCTCAGCCACAAGAAGACAGGATATTAATTCAGAATATTTTTTAAAACCTTTTTCTCTATATTGTGTCTACAGGACAATATTATTAGCATGGAAAGTGGAGTATATCTTTTCAAGCATTTCTGCATCAGTAATATTTTCTCCACATAATTTCAATTGAGAAGTTATTTTAAACATAGCTGAGTTATATTCACTAACAGATTTAAAATCTTGCAATCTCAAATTTAACCATTCATAACGAGCTCTAGGGAGTATCACTGTTTTTTGGTGGTCATACCTTTCCTTTAGATTACTCCAAAGGATTTGTGGGTCTTTCACAGTTAAATATTCATTTTTGAGCCCTTCATGGAGGTGATGGCGAAGAAAAATCATGGCTTTAGCCTTATCTTGAGGTGTTGCCTTATTAGCCTCTTTTATTGTTTCACCAAGCCCTTTAGCATCTAGGTGTATTTCAGCATCTAACACCCATGATAAATAATTCTTTCTGGTAATATCAAGGGCCACAAATTCGAGTTTGGCAAGGTTCGACATTTTTCACTATACAAAATAATATTAAAAGATAAGTATATATAAATAGTATTCAAAAATATGTATTAAACGTTATAATCATGCATAAATAAACCTGATACAAATCATGCATAAATAAGAACGAAATAGAAGGGGAGAATGTTAGCATGGAGAAAAATAAAAATGGAACCTTAAATTATATATCATGCTCTGTATTCGTTATATATATTGATATTCCAATAAATAAGCATGCAAAAGTAGATAAATGTTAAATTATAATTGTTATGGGATGCGATCATACTTACATGATAATAATAATATGGATTCTAGATAAATGTTTGGTAATCCTACTCAGTTGACTAGCAATGGTGCTGATAACGTGTTAAATATGGAATAGAAAATAAAGAGAGATGAGGGAAGATTGTTACGTTGTATTTCATATTCTATCTAGTACGGGATATATATAATGTACATTTCCTAGGGTTCCATCAATGGATAAGACCAAATACCCAACTCTAGAATATTCTAGATTGTACATGGGATAATAGTCATCCATATTTAGATATTATCATAAAAGGGTTTTCAAAGCTAGCTTTTTAAACTCAAAACTCTATCTAAATCCTCTCTAATAATATTTGGTAAAGGTAGACTGGTCGTGGTTACGACAAGAGTCATGGAGGTGGTTGTTGGTTTCAGAAACTGGTGGTTTTGGTGACAACGGTGGAGGTGGTGGTGCTTTAGGTAAGGCGGTCGATGTAACGGTACAGTAGGAATTGTGGTAGATATCAAAAATCTAAAGTTGATATGAGATAGTTATTGAAGTGTTGAATTTAAATATTAAATTATAATTATAAGATATTGAAGTGTTGACATCAGATATTAAAATTTATGTATTTAATTTGTTAACATAAGTTATTTCATTATCGATTTAACCTACAAAACTGTCGATGATAAGCAATTGAATCACCATCGATATAAGTTTAAGTTATTAAATTGTTATTATAAACAATTAAATTGTCGATTAAGCTACTAAATTGCTGATACAAACAATAGTATTATTGATATAAGTTATCAAAATCTCAATATAAGTTATTAAACTATAGATATAAGCTATGAAACTACTAATATATGCTATCAAATTGTTGAGACAAGTTATTAAATTGTCAATAATATAAGCTATTGAACTACTAATTTATGCTATCTAATTGTTTAGACAAGTTATTAAATTGTCAATAATATAAGCCTAGTATTAATTTATTGCTGCTACACACAATATCATGCAGGTTCATTAGCTACAGCTCTAATCTTTTCAAGTACATAAATTGATCTTTTTTCTATAGAAATTCTCTTAGTTAAAATTTCACGTGGTATGAAAATTTATTATCGAACACCGAAAAAAAAAAAAACTAAAATTTAATACTTATTCTTAACGGTCTAATCTTACCTTAATATGCTTAATGATAATCATTTTTTAATAAGCACTCCGTATGATTAATCATATAACTAATATATAAAGCTAAACTTTTAGCCAGGTCATGAAATAATGACACTTGGCATTCTAACTTTCCGCCAAGTGTCGCGCCACCTTGGATAGATTTAAATAGATTCATAAGATAAAAAAAGTTAGTTAAAAATTATTTTTTCAATCAAATTAGGATAGAATTTTAGAATAAGATGTTTAGTTTAGAGTTTTATTTTCGATAAAATACCAAATAATAAACTTATAATTAGGCCACAAGACAACATCATATAGCATTTTAACTTTACGCCAAGTGTCGTACCACGTTGGATAAATATAGATAGACTTTGTAGAAAAAAAAAAAGTTAATTTAGAATTCTATTTTTAATCAATTAAATTGAATTATAATGTAATTTTATCTTAAAATTCCATAAACAAATCGGGTATCGCACGGGGCACAAAACTAGTAATCATTAAAGTCATGTGAAAACATCAAACAAATCTAACAACAAGTTCTGAATCTGCCAACACATAGACAGAAGTAAATTAAACAATAATTAAGAACCAAAAAGGAAATTTCATAATCAAACTATAGATTATTAACAATATAACATTATCACTACAAAAACCAATTCATCATAAAACAAGTCTATTATTCTAGTTTATAGTTTTATACCCTTTTCTCTTTTACAACTCTCTTTCATTCCTTATTTCTAGGATTCCTAAGTCCACCACCCCACCACCATCCTCTTCTTATCATTACTTCTTTCTCTCTCCTCTTAAATTTTCCAGTAAAAAAACACATCACTTTTTTTTTTCCTTTTGATTTCCCCAAAATTTCCTTTTCCTCGATTTTATACTCAAATCCTTACAATTTATTTTTTGTTACTTACAGTTTTTTTTATAGCAAATTTCTACATTGTTACACATGTATGAATAATCAGTAATACTATACATTACTGCAAATCTCCATTGTTGTAGTATGCAAGTAAGTTTAAGCTTTTTTTTTTTGGTTAGGTTGAATGATTTATAATTTCGAGAAAAACCCATGTTCTAAGGAAAATATAGCATTAAATAATTTCTGGGTATTAATTAATAATTATAACCAAAGATTTCTGGGTAAAAAAAAAATGCTTTGATTGGCACACTACTTTGGTTTTCTGCTGTCTGTTTGTTGGCTCAGTCTTTTATACTGTGTTGTTGTTTTCCATAATTTGCAGTTTTTTTAGAAGATGATGATGCCGGAGAAGTTGGTTAACTCGGTAACTCAGTGGCCGATTCTCAGGCTAACTCGCCGAGTTGGGGTTCTTGTTTCTGTAGCATTGTTAGCATTGTTGCTAGTTTGGAGCATTGATCAATCTGTTGTGTTTGATTTTCTGAGGTATCCAAGAGAAACTCTTTCTCAAAAACTACTTGATAATAGTACAAAATCTGCAAATTCTAAAAATTCTCAAAATTCTACATTATATGATGAATTTAATGCTACCCATGTCAGTTTTTTCAATGATAGTGATGTTTTATTGCCTAGAATAGAAAACCCAGATGAGATTTTGGTTAATTCAAGTCAAAGTTTTGTCAATGTTTCATCTGGATTAGACTATAGAAATGGTGGTGATAATGATGTTGATGGTGTTGGTGTGCCTGAGGGGCAATTAGAGGGGGATTTGGATCGATTTTCGGGTGAATTTGACCCGAAAGGCGAAACAAGGAACCTGAGTCATGGTTTGGATTGGGTGTCAGTTGAGTTTGAGCAGAATTATAGCTCAAATCTGTTGTCTAGGTGGTTGGCACCAGGGGGTGAGGCTTGTAAGGATTCGAAAACGGTTGATATTAGGTTTGTTGGGTTTGATGATGGGAAGGAAATTGTGTTGTCAACTGGGAATGCTCATGAGGTTGTTTTTCAGGCATTGGATGAGTTGGGAAATCTTCATTGTGTTGGAGATGATTATTTTGAGATTGATTTGTCGGGTGAATCATGGAAATCGCGGGCACCCATCAAGGATTGGGGCAATGGGACTTACTCATTTACTCTTCAAGTTCATCCTGATTTTCCTGGAACTTATAACCTCACCATTATCCTACTATTCCGGCACTTTGAAGGACTAAAGTTCTCAACTGCTCGATTTGGATATGATCAGCAGCTTCGAAATATTCCTGTTACGTTTACTGAATCTGAAGCTATCTTGCCTGAATTGCATTTGTGTAGAAAATCCGATTTCAATAGAGATGTTTGGACGGGGAGATGGACAAGACATGGTAAAAATGATGCTTGTGAAATAAGCAATGATGGGCGATATAGGTGTTTGGAATCTGACTATCCTTGCACTAACCCCTGGTGCAATGGCTCGTTGGGGATGCTAGAGAGTAATGGTTGGGTTTATTCTGCACATTGTTCCTTTAGATTACTCTCTGCTGATGATGCCTGGCATTGCTTAGACAATCGATGGCTTTTCTTTTGGGGCGATTCAAATCATGTGGATACAATTCGCAACATTTTGTTCTTCTATCTTCATGTTCCATATCAGGAACTAGATATAGTATCTAGGCGTTTTGACAATACTTTTACAAACCCGAAAAATAAGTCACAGTCTGTTAGAATTACAAACATCTTCAATGGTCATTGGAACATGACCAAGAACTATGAAGGCCTGAATTCACTAGCAAATGAAGGATATCGGAATTTGGTGAAGAGCTTCTTCAATGGATCTGCTGTACCTGACACTATCATTTTGAATTCAGGTTTACATGACGGAATTCATTGGCATAATGTTAGGAGATTTATTCAGGGGGCAGAAGACGCAGCTTCATTCTGGAAAGAGATTATGGAAGGAGTGAAGCAGAAGGGTTTAGCAGTATCGAATTTTATCTTCAGGTCTACAATCACTACAGGAGGATATGCTAGAACACTTTCATTCAATCCCAGTAAAATGGAGGTGTTTAATGGCATCCTCCTGGACAAACTGAAGGCAGCCGGTTTGATTACTGGGGTTGTAGATGATTTCGACATGACTTGGGCATGGCATTTCGACAATAGGTGCAATGATGGTGTACATTATGGAAGATTTCCAGCAAAAATGAAATGGAGAGACGGACAAATCGGGCACCAATATTTTGTTGATTTGATGCTCGGCCAAGTTCTGCTGAATGCTATCTGTGCAAGATGACAGTTTTTGTACCATAAAATTCATTTTCGGTTCAAAATTCTACCCTGGTGGGCGGAAGGATCCAGTAGATAAGAGTATATTGAGCTAGAAGAAATTCAATTCATTACAAGGTCAATAGAGCATCTGTATAATGTGTCAATTTTTTCGTTACCCAATTGTTTGGTTGAGCTAAATATAGGCTATATATGTCAATATTCACAGGGTACTCCCTCTGTCAAAGACTAATAGTCACGTTGATAGTGCCATTGAACTACTAACGTGACAATCAAGTCTGGACGTAGGTTGTACATTACACGTATCAAAATCATTTGTATTACTCCGTATTTGGAGAGACAACCATGTTTATGTCAATTCCAATGTGTTTAACAATAGTTTGCACTACATTATTATTGATGATTTTTATAATATTATACAGTACTCCATTTATAAGCCAAATGTAAGACCGTGTTTGGCTAATCTTGTTGATTAATTAACACCAGAATAAAATAATTTTGGAAGAATCAAATAATTAGAGATAAAGGGCACTAAATCATAAATGCGGTATGTGTTAGAGGAGTGAATAATAAATGCTGGAATAGCTTACAGAGGGATTCACATGATTGGTTGAGTGTGTTTCATAGCAATGGAGTAAAGTTGTAAAGCCAACAACCTTTTGTTAGGAAATTAATATGGAAAATGTTCAAGGAAACTTCTAGCTTCCTAACCTTATTTGCTTGACCTAAGTGTAGTTAGAATTTTATAGTTGCATGTACTTATTGTACTTGGAATAAATTTACGTGTTTAAGATATAAAACATGTTTTACGTTTGACTATTTGGGTAACGCTAGGGTTATATAGGCATTAAATACGAAGTACATATTTTAAATACAAAGTCTTATATGTGGTTGGCCACACGATGTGGCCAGTCACTATAGGGGTTCTATAGGGGTTACTTTGCTAGTGTAATGGGGGTTACTTCATCATTGTTATAGAGTTACTCGGTCAGTGTTATAGGGGTTACTTGATTGGTATTACAGGGGTTACCTGATCAATGTTATAAGGGTTACTTTAAGTGGTCAAACGGTGTGGCCGGTCGCACACAAGACGAGTCGTATTTTAAAATGTTATGTCCTTGGTTTCAAATGAGTTGTTAAGTTTTAACTTTTGATGGTATTTATAAATTTAATTTGTTAAGAAAAAAAAATACTCCATACATAGTTATATGAGATTTTATTATACTCTCTTCGTTCCTGATTGATAGTCACTTTTGCCATTTTTGGTAACTCAAAATGTTAGTCACATTTGCTTTTTTTCAAGTATCATTAATATTATTTTTTTACCAAAATTCTCTAACATTTGCAAAAATATTTGTGCAAATTTAACTTTTCCATGTAAATTTTACTTTCTAATGTACTATAATTACTTTCTCTCTCTATTTTTTTACATACCCAATGTAAATTTACTTTTTCAATGTACTTTATTTAATTCTCCTTAATTCCCGTGATTTTTTTAGCAAAAGTGACTATCAATCGGGGACGAAGGGAGTATTTTTTACCATTAAATACGAAGTACATACTTTAAAATGGTATATCCTTGGTTTCAAATGAGTTGTTAAGTTATAACTTTTGATGGTATTTATTATTTTAATTCGTTAAAAAAAATACTCCATACATAATTATATGAGATTTTATTATATCTTTTACCATATAACTAGTTGAAGTTGTATTAGGGTCTGTTCTCATACGTTGAAATTCAGTTCAGTTAAGTTCAATGAAATTCAGTTCAGTTCAGTTCAACTCCTAATTTCTTTCTCTTATAAAATATTCAATTTAGTTCAGCTCAATTCAGTTCAGTTCAGTCAATAAGAACAAACCCTTAATCTAGCGAGGTACAACTGTACAAGAAGTTGTCAACTTTTGTAAAATAATCTTTGTTTGGATTGAATTTTTGGATTTATTATTGTTGTTAAGTGATATTGAAGCATAATTTTGTTTATTAATGGTCAGTAGTTAGAATAGAGAAGAAATAAGAAGAAGATGAATAATTTGTACAAGTTGGCTAATTATTTTTTGCAAATGGGCAAAGAGTTACTAAGCTTACAGAAAGCACGAAGAAAGTGAGAACGACCCTAAGCTCTTCGTTCAGCAGTAGCTAACATATGAGCTGCTTGGACCATATCTCTTTGCACTTTGATGCACACCACCAGGTCCAAGTTTCTGCACAAGTGTAGAATGTCCTGTGTGATATTTTGGATGTCCGCAGGAGCTTGCATTGGGCTGTGAAGAGCCTTTACTACGCTCTCGCAGTCAGTTTTAATGATCACATTCCTACACTTAGCCTCTTGCTCTTTTATCCCCCACCATACTGCATAAGCTTCAGCTTGTCTAGGGCTCGTAGCAAAGATTTTCCTGGCGACCCCCCATGTTGTCCTCCTGTATTGTCTTCAGTCCAAGCCACAACAGCTATCCATCCCGGTCTGTCCTTTTCCTTTTGTTTCTTCCAAGCTGCATCCACTAGAATTGATCGAGTATGTTGCGTACTGGCCTTCCCAAAGAGGAACACTTTCGGCATCTTTGAGCTATTGTTGCTGCTTTTCCTCTGCAATTGCCACTCCTTATCCCTTATTCTTTCTGTGCCTAGCCATCTCTTAATGTGTACCTGCACCAGATCCATTATAGCCAACGGGCTAACACTCACATTTTTAAAAATAACGTCATTTCTATGAGTCCAAATTGCCCACAAGACTGCTAAAAAGTATTGTTGAATCTTTTCCTCCCTTCCATCTCATTTCCTAGCATATTGGAGTAGGTTTTGTATCCACGTAGTCAAAGAAACACCCTGGTTTGATGATGTGTTCAATCCCAACGCACTTGCCCTCCAGATTCTTTGTGTAATAGAACAGTCTCTAAATAGATGACATGTCGTTTCATCTTCGTTGCCACACAGAGCACAGTGTTGCTGGACTGCCAGACCCCTCTTTCTCAAATTATCTCTAGTCGCTACCCTATTACGCATGATCTTCCACGCTAGGATGATGCACTTTGGCCACGTTTTAATTTTCCATAATTCCTCCCAGCCGCCATTTGCCTCTCCTGATTGTAGCTTTTGGTCTTGCCACCAATATCCAGACTTGAATCTGTATGCTCCACTCTCCTCAGGCATCCACTGGAATTGATCCTCGCCTTGTTCAGGGATACAAATGGAAAGGATATTTCTAGCATCCTCCCGCTCAAACGTGCTCCAAATAAGTGATGCATTCCAGCACCTACCATTAGTCATTAGGTCCGAGACTTTGTTCATGCCCATCTCATAGAATTTTGGCTTTGGTTGTAGCCTCTTTCCCCGAACCCAGACATCCTGTGTTATGTCAATCGAGGCTCCATCCCCAATGATTCTACCAAGTCCGATCCCGACTTCATTTCCATTGTAGCTTTTACCAAGCTTCATGCGGCCCAAGATCCATGAGGAGGCACCCTTCCCATGTATTCCAAACTAATTGGGTTGTCACCATACTTCTTAGAAATTTTTTTTCTTGCTAGCAGTTCGGGGTGGGTGTACAGCCTCCAGCTTTGTCTCATCAAGAGAGCTCTATTCACTTGCTTTATGTTATTCATTCCCAGGCCCCCTAGACTCTTGTGAGCACACAAAACCTCTCTGTTAACCCAATACATAGGTTTCCCTTGGTTCTTATTCGACCAAAGGAACCTCAGTATTACTGACATTATACTCTTCTCACACCCACAAGGACACCAGTACACCGAGAAAATGTGTTGAATAGCTGCAACTAGGATCCCATTAATCAGGATCAGTTTCCTAGCCATCGACAAGTTAGCAAACTTCCAAGATGTGATTTTTGCTATGATTTTTTCTTGAACTTTTTTAAGCTTCACTGATGATCTCCCATCTATATCCATTGGGCACCCCAGATATGTGCCAAGTTCCCTTGTACTTCTTACTCCCAATGGCTGTCTTAATAATCTGGTAAATTTTGCTGGGGTGTTAGGACTAAATAAGATTACAAATTTCTGGAAATTTACAGCTTCACCTGAAAGCTTGCAAAATTTGTCCAAAGTTTGTTTCATAGTCTTTATCGCTGTAGGAGTCGCCTTGAAGCAGAATAGCGCATTGTCTGTGAAAAATAAATGTGAAATTGAGGGTGCTGATCTCGCAACTTTTATCCCTTGGATGCTCTTCTCCCTTTCTAACGCCAACAACTGTCTAGATAGGCTCTGCATTACTAGGATGAACAGATATGGTGATAAGGGATCACCTCGTCGAAGTCGAACTCTAGGGAAAATAAGATTTGTAGCTTCTCCATTGACTAAAATTGCGTAGCTCACTGATTTGATACATTGTTCAGTCCATTCAATCTATTCATTCGGGAAATTCATGCTTCTAAGGATCAAGATTACGAAGTCCCATCTTACTCTATCATATGCTTTGCTAAGATCCACCTTCAAGATAGCCTCGAACCTACCACCCTTCTTCCTCTTTTTTACCGAGTTCAGAAGCTCATGAGCTATAAAACAGTTGTCCACCATACTTCTGTTAGGCACAAAAGCATTTTGGAACTCCCCAATAATTGAACCCAAAATGGGTTTAAGCCTATTAACCAGACACTTGGAGATAATTTTATAGAACGAGTTGCACAAGCTTATAGGCTGAAACTCCGTAACTTTGGTTGGATTATTCAGTTTTGGGATAAGGGCAATAAAAGTAGGGTTTGTCTCCTTAAGCATATGTCCATGCTTGAAGAAAGATTGGACTCCCTTTATAACCTCATGTTTGATAGAGGCCCAGTTCTCCTGGAAAAAGAGAGGGGGTGCTCCATCTGGGCCAGGTGACTTTAAAGGGCGTGGAGCAAAAACAGCCTCTCTAATTTCCTCCTCCAAAAAAGGCCTTGTTAGGCTTTGGGCCTGATTTTGGCTTAGTTTTGGTAGCTCCTTCATCCAATCTTGGGCCTCCTGTATTTCCACCAAATCTGGGTTTGGGCCTCCTTCGTACATTCTCTTAAAGTGGTTGTAAAATTCTTCTTTTATCAGATTTCGGTCCACAATCCACTCCCCTTGATCGCCTTGAATTGCTCTAATTTCCATTTTGGACATTCTCTCCTTTACACTCTTGTAGAAAAAGCTTGAGGTTTGATCCCCAAACGCATCCCATTTTGACTTCGCTCTCTGTCTCCAATACCACCATTTCTTCTCCAAACTTTGCTCCACAGACGCTCTCTTCTCAAATTCCTTTGTTCCCAGCAGTTCAATCTCTAATTGGGCCATCTCCATCTCCGAATGGACTTCCTTCCAATTAAGGACCATTTCAGCTTTGTATTGTACACTCCAGCTTCTCAGTGCATTCAAACAAGCTTTGATTTT